CTAATTTGTTAGGACTTCAGTGTATTTTAGTTACATGTATTTCATATATTATTGCAAAAAGCACTGCCACATTTCACAGACTCGTGAGCAAGAACAGACTTGTTGAGGTGTCATCTTGCCCAGGTCCCCTGCCATGTGCTGCTGCTCCTTAGTTCATTCATGCTTTGAGGATCAGGAGCTCCCAGACTCCAAAGGCAGAATGCCAACTGGAGCCCATTTTCTAAATCTCTGCTGCAGAGACTGGAAAACCCCATAATAGCTGTGTACCACCCCCAGCTGCAATCCCTCCTGCTCCTGAACAGAGGGCACTGATTTCCCTTACTGTACTATTTCAACTTCTACTGTCTGTATAACTTCCATAGTTTGGATCCTGCTTACTGTTCCCACCACAGGCACTGGTTAGAGTTTGCCCTTTCAGGACATTAAAGGTTTTGCCCATCAGCCAATCTGACATTTGAAAAGGATCTACAGAACTTGTATAAAGAATTCCCCAGCAAACCTCCCAGAGCTGACACTGAAACTGTATGTTTATCCAAAGCAAGAGGCAGAAGATACTCAAAAATCACAGAACAAAAATACATAAGCAGCTCAGTGGTCATTCATGTATAACCTCCTTTAATATACAATAAACCTCCCCAGCTTCTAGTTTTACTTGTGATCAAGACCTATAGCCCAACACCAATAATGTGTTTGGAGCACTCGGTCCCACACTGACTTTTGGGGTTAGGTACCAAAGAGCTATGCTGTGCCACCCTCATGAGCAACTGGATTGAATACATCCTATACGCTTCCTTAATTTTCCTGGATAGGGAATACAAGCCAGGTTTCATTTGCTGTCAACACAGCACATCATTGCAGTGAGGTATGAAGTGTGTGACCAGGGGCTGGTGAGAACACCCAGGAGAAAGATTTAGTTGAACATTGTAGTTGCTTTTGTAGCTTAAATCTTACCCTGATCTTGGGCAAGTCAAGGGAGGTTGGAGGCTAAGTTCCTGACTGAGAGTCATTAGCGAAGGTAACCCTCTCTCTTCCCTTGCTTTATCAGGTTCAGCCTGTTCACATGAACATCTTCTCTGCCTTGGGAAGCATAAGCAGCTTTTCTTTCCCAGGTAATTAATACCAGACCTCCGCTGAAGGGTATCAGAAATCAGTGACTGTTCGGTGCTGGGCTTCTGCAAACAGCTCAGAAGCTCCCCTGTGATTCAGTGAAAAGAAGTGTCCAAAAGAAGAAAAAACATAAGTAAAACCAATCCTGTTAAGTCCTCCCTGCTGCTATCTACCAGCAGTCAGAGACAAGGCTCAATTAATGTACTACTTCATGGCATCCTCTGAACAACACAATCAGTGCCCTCCCTCTGTGACACAGGATCCTCTGCCATGGGCTTTAGCTGCTGCCTCCTGCATTGGTGAGACCCTTCACTGGTGTATCCAGGGTAACTGGAATTTTGTTTTTCATGTATTTCCACCATACACCATTCAGGATAAGCATTTGTCTTAACGTTTGTCTAAGGTGTGAGAGTGGGTCACTCCATGGGTTGGATGGGTGGTTCAGCAGCTCTGCTTAATGAAACAGTTTCTATTGCCTTCAGTGAATCTGTGTCCTGGCTCAGTGTGTCAACGCTGGGTATGTGCAATGTCCTGAACACCCTCCTGGGCTCTGGCTGGTGAGGTCTTTCTGTTCACCCTATTGTGCCTCCTCTTTTTACCTCTCTGCCCCTTTCAATGTATCTTGTAACTCAAGCTGGATTTCAAAACTGTTAGGTAAGAAGGTGCAGCCCTGCCTTCCCTGACAGCTCCTCTGCTGTGTGCTCCACATGGATTTTTTATGTGCTGGGGTGCATGGGAGGAGTTTATGGCTTCAACTGGATTCCAGTAAACCTTGTACTTGTGTTTTGCTGACCTGTCTTGCTGCAGTTATTTCCCTGAGTCCCACTACTAGGTACTGCTCCATGCTGCACTCTGGACTAATTTTATTTAGCCATTAGAATTCTAATTACACAGGACTGCACTCTCCTCCCAAAGAGCAGATTATCTGTTTCTTCAAATTTGGCCTTTGACCATTGCCTCCCCTTCTCCAGTGCCTCTCCTCCCATTTTCAGATGTGCAGTCAGTCCTGGGGACACTGGGGAGGGAGTTCTGCCTACCAGTGGCATTCCCAGCACTCAGTGTCCTGATCAGACATGGAAGCCCAGGATAATGCCTGGGTGGCTGCAGGACCACTGTGCTCCGGACACAAATGCAGTCTGTATTGGTTGGACAGAGGTGCTTAGCTTGTGCCTTGAGCAGGAAGAGAATGTTCTTGTGCCACCTGCAACTGTCCTGGCAGTTAAACCAGTCACCAGCTGTGGGGTGACCTGTCCCTGCTGCAGTGAAAGTCCTTCAGTTGTGCAGCTGCTGCTGTGCCAGCACATCTGGGATTTTGGCACTGTCCAGTCTGGCTGGCCAGCGATGGATTTTTGTGCTCCACAAAGGCAGGGGAGCTACCTGCTCCATCCCAGACTGCTCTGTCTCTCATCATTCCTCTCTCAGAACTAAGATGTGTTTTTCTTCTCTGCCACAAACCATCTGCTGGTAGCACCTTCTCAGAAAGCTTTTTTTCCACCATTACTTAGGAGGTGATCATAGCACAATCTGACATTTTTAATCCTGGATGCTTCCCGAATGATTTTGTACTGCCAGAGTAAGGGTAGCTCACTCTCTTCTCAAGGCACTCTTCCCTTTCTGGGTAGGGCAACCCTTGCCTGGCACAGAGGAGTTCACCAGCCCTTCCAGAGCTGGCAAGTACATGATTTCAAAGGAGGGATCCTTCCCTTCAGCTCTTCTGAATAAGACCACAACTTTTTTTTTTTTGCCTCTCTCTGAAGTTCCCATCATAAAAAATAATTGACAATTGCTCAGTAAATTTATCAGCAAATCCTTTTAATTTCATGATCATATAATCTGAGCCTGCCAGTCTGTGCAGTGCCACGTGTATTCTGCCCTCCTCTTTCCTCCTGCACACTCTGATAGCTCTACAAGGCCCCTGTGCTGTTCAGCCTTTAGATTTGGGCTTTGAAATTATTTCTTGGGTTTATAGTTGGTGTTTTACTTAATTTCAGTCACTCAGTATTGCTCCATTTGGGAAATTGCTTTGCTGGTTTTCATATTCTTAGGCAGCCTAACAGCTGAGGTCAGCTGTGGTCCTGCAGTCACACTGAGCTGCACTGAACTGAGCTGAGTTGAACTGGGCTGTGCTGCTCTGAACAAGTCTCACTTCTCCACTGCACAACCTGCCCTGTGCTGGCACTAGCACTGAGCAGGATGGACTCCAGCTGCAAAAATGACCCCACTGCAAAATATCCTCAGTAACACCACCACCATCCCACCCCTTTAGCTTTAGACAGCTTCATCAGGCAGTGGTAAACCTGCTGCCTGCAGTTCCTGCTATTTCCTATTTCTCGTGCACAGGAATGAACCAATATCTTTTCAGGACAGCAATCAAGTTGTAACAGCTAAATGCAGCCTGTGAGTGCCATGGGTAATACACAACTCTTACTGCACCCCGCATCCTCCACTAAGGATCCCCATCACACCCACGTCAGCTGCCCATCCTCCTTTACAGAGTGCTGCCCACCCCAGCTTCCCATGGCCTTGTTCTCAGGGTCTCAACTGCTTTTGGACATGGCACATATCACCTCTTCACCCTCACAGACAGCTGGTATCACATACAGCTTATCAGCAACGAGACCATGAAACCGTGCATGAAATGCCTTCAAGTGGGATTCTGTATCTGCCTCTCACATTGCTTCCCTTTGCTCCATTAACAAAAGGATGGTTTTGCTCTGGTAACATTTCCAGAATCAGCCCCCCAAAACCCTGCTATCTGTATGCGCTTCATCTTTTAGTGAGTGGAATTTTTTGCCAAAGTTAAGAACTGCCATGCAGAACCTGGCAGTGGAGCATAACCCTCTGAGAGTCAGCAAGTCCTCTGTGCCATTGCCATAGCTTCACTAAACAGCCAGCCACAGAGAAATGTTGCCTGTAAACTGATAGCAGAGTGATTACAGGAAAACCCTCAGGAAGACTTTAATTTGGGGGCATACTTGTGCCTGGCTTGAAGCAAATGAACAATGACCTCACATGAGGCCGTCTGCCTGCTCCACTGGAGAAGTCCCTAGGGAGACCTTAGAGCAGCTCCAGTGCCTGAAAAGGCTACAAGAAACCTGGAGAGGGGCTTTGGACGAGGGCCTGTAAGGACAGGCCAAGGGGAATGTCTTGAACCTGCCCGAGGGGAGACTGAGCTGAGCTCTTAGGCAGAAGCTCTTCCCTGTGAGGGTGCTGAGGCGCTGGCACAGGGTGCCCAGAGAAGCTGTGGCTGCCCCATCCCTGGCAGTGCTCAAGGCCAGGTTGGACACAGGGGCTTGGAGCAAGCTGCTCCAGTGGAAGGGGTCCCTGCCCGTGGAAGGGGGTTGGAGCTGGATAAGCTTTAAGGTCCCTTCCAACCCAAACCAGCCTTGGATCCCGTGTTTCTACGATTCCCATTCTGTTTGCTTTGAAACATACACTCCTTTACCTGGATCAACGCAGAGCTTTCGCTCCCGCTCCCACCCTCACCCTCATGACCAGCACCATCAACCTCAGCCTCACACTCTCCCTCACAGACCGGGACCGGCGCCGTCCCCGCCCCCGCTCCATTCTAGACGCTTCCACGCCCCCCGCCGCCACCGCGGCGGCTCTTCCTCCCGGCGGCTCCCCCACCCTCCGCCACCTCTTCCCGCAGGCGCACTGCGACGCTGCCAGCGACGGGAAAGAGCGCGGCAACGGGCTCCTCTGCGCAGGCGCGTAGGGCCAGCCTGGTGGGCTGTTCTATCTCCCTACCACCGCCCGCCGGAACGCATGCGCGGGAGGGCAGCGCTGGTGTTCCGTGTGCGCGCCCCCACCCCCGGCTGCCGCGCAGGCGCACAGTGGCACCTGAGGAGGCAGTCGGGCTCGTTCCGTTGGGAGCAGCCGGTTACTGTCAGAGGTGGCGGGTGGTGGTGCCCGGTCCCGACAGCGAGCGGAGCCCCCGGCCTGGCCCGACCCGGCCCCATTCGCGGCCCCGACGTGAGGAGAGCCGCGCTCTCGCCTGCCGGTGTCTCGTCTCCCTACCCCGGGGCGGCGGAGGCAGCAGCGCCCCCCTCCCGGCCCGGCCCCCTCCTCCCGCCGCCCCCCTCGCCCCTGCCGGGCCGCGGAGCTGCGATGCCCTCGGACTTCATCTCTCTGCTCAGCGCCGACCTCGACCTCGAGTCCCCCAAGTCCCTCTACTCCAAGGGTGAGTGTGGCACCGGGCCGGGAGGTGGGGCCGCGGAGGGGGAGCACCGTGCCCGCGCCGTTAGCCGCTGTTAACGGCTGGCCCTGCCTCCGGGCCCGCGCGTCGGGCGGCCCCCCCCTCCCGCCCTTCTGGCGCCGGCGGGGAGCGTCGCCCGCCCCGACCTCCCCCCCGCCCCCCCCCCGCCGGCGTGCGGGCCGCGCCGGGATGCTCGGCCGAGGGGCCCTGGCGCCCGCGTCGGGGCCGAGTCCGGCTCCCCCGGCCGCATTCCTGGCCCGGCCGCGGCGGCCTCAAGAATGTGTCCCGACAGGTTCCTGCGCTCGGGGCCCTGCGGCGGCCCCCGCGGGAGCGGCGTCGCGGCGGGGGGCTCCCCCACCCCACTTCCTCTCTCCCCGCTCCCTGCCTCGCCGCCGGTGCCGGCCGGGAGCGCGGCCGCGGCCCCGCTGCCGCCCGCTTGACTTCGCCGTTTGGCGGCGCATCCGCAGGGATGCGGCTGGAGACCGACGCTGCCCCAGTGGGGGCTGGTGGGGGGGGCAGCGGCTTCGACCTGGAGCTGCGAGCGCAGAGTAACGGGGCGCGGGCGGCTGCAGGCTCCCCGAATTTCTCGGGAGGGGGCTTTGGCCTCGAAGCGACCCTGAACGCTCTGATTTGGGTTATGAACTGGCCAGGGGGGCCCGAAAGTAGAAGGCTGGTTTCCGTTCTGATGATGGGTATTGATACCAGGGGGCTTGGAGCATCTCTGGCTGTTAACTCTTGGAGCAAGTGTAAAACGGCATCGCTGGGGCGTGGGAAGTAGAGCCTAAGGGAGAACGTGGGGAATATTAAACCAAGAGAACGCCTGTTTTCATAGAATTTCTGTTTTGAGAAGCGCACACTTACCGAGGGTGTGTAAGTTCTGAGATGTGCTACATGCCACGCAAGTTCTTAACCTCGCCGTTGCTTATTTGAGACTTAAGTCACTAGAAGTAGTTTGTTGAGCACGTCTGCCCAGAACACTGGTGGTGGGGAGCAACTCTGCGGGGTATGACAGAAGAAATTGACAGTCTTTTATTAGCTGGAAGGTACCTGAGCGGAGTTCTGTATTCTTATGGGAAAGATTAAACTTATAAATAATTTCTGGAGCTAACTGCAGTGTGCTCGTAACTCAGAGTTGTGTGTTGTTAGTTGTGAAACTTTAAGAAATAAAAGGACTTTAACCAAATCAGAGCACACCTTTAAAGCTCTTAAAGTGCTCTAGGTTATTGTTTTGCTGTTTAGAGATCTTAAAAGTTAGTGCCAATTTGTAATAGTCTAGAAATTTTGTTTAAGATGTTCCTGCAGGGGCTTGAGGTTCTGTTCCCTAACCCATACGTATGCTAGTTCATTTCAGTCCTAGTGAGGGTGAGAGAAGGGAAAAAAGTATTTTGAAGCAGAGAAGCTTGATTAAAAACATCGAGGTGATAAATCCCCATTTAAGTGACCATTTATTATATTGGATATTTGAGAAGTGTGCAGTGTGAATTGGTAAAACATTTGAAATAAAAATGTTCTATGTAAGTTACTAAACTTCTTTAAGGACTTTTGCTTAACTGAGCAGAACTTTGGAACAATTTGGTCTTACTATCTGATGTTCCAACTTTTTTTTATATTTAATGGAATGGCTGAGATCCTTTTTTCTACCTGAAACAGACACTCGGACTGATTAATCAAGAGTGTATTTTTAATTCTGGTGGTGTTGATACAAGTTCAGAGCTAGAAAAGATCTAGAGAGGGATGTTTAGTCCATCTCTATCCTTTTCTTGAGGGATGTTAAGGAGATGCCATGATGAGCTGTTAGATCCTGCAAGATGGCACATGATAGAGGTGTCTGGAGCAGTGAGTGGTTATAAAGAGATTACAGCAAGGTTGGCTTGTCATGTTTTGTCATAATAAAAGATCAAGGAGATGTTAAGTTGAAATGCAGCTTAATTAAAATTTAGAGCCAGTGAATACGCTTTTCCAGGGTGAATAACAAAGCGATCGTCTCTTTATTATGATGTATATCAGTATGGTGAGGCACTGGAATGGGTTGCCCAGGGAGGTTGTGAATGCTCCATCCCTGGCGGTGTTAAAGGCCACGTTGGACTGAGCCTTGGGTGGCATGGTTTAGTGTGAGGTGTCCCTGCCCATGGCAGGGGGGTTGGAACTAGATGATCTTAAGGTCCTTTCCAACCATAACTCTTCTATGATTCTATGATTTCTAGCTGGATTTAGGAAAAAGGTGGTTAGTGTTATCTGGTTAATCAGAATACAGTTCAGTGTGCTTTTGGTTTTTTTCCCCTCTGTATGTACGGATAAACTTACCCTGTGGACAGATGTTCTGTATCAGAGTATGAATACAGCTGATACGATAAAGGGAAAGGCCTGAACACAGTGAGAAAGCCACAAATATGCATTTGTGATGAGGGTGTGTTAGGAGCATGTAGCTTCTCATAACTGCTCTCCTTTTAGAAATGCATCTACCCTGCAGTTTGGAATCCATCTTGCAGATTGAACTGGGGCCAGGAACTTCTCCTCTGAATTGCATTCCTGTGTGTGAGTTAGGATGGTTGCGGTTTAGCGATGCCCGTCTTGTATGTTTGTCAGTGACGATCCCTGTGGTGTTCTGGAAATGCAGAGATCATGAAAGCAAGAGATTGAGGTGGTCCCGGGAGTAACGGGGGTTTCTAAGATCCAAACCTCAGTTAAAGTGTGGGAGAGTTTTAGAGTGTTGATTAAAACACACTTGCCTATTATTGAAAGTGAAGTTCTATTTGAAACCTCAGTGAATCAACATGCAGCTTCTGCTAGTGCAGTTTTTAATGGTACTGTTTGTCCCATTCTGTGGGGAGATTGGGTTATGTCATCAGTCATGCTGCGTGTGAAGGCTTTGGCTTGTGTGGCCATCTCAGTTAAGACTTTTGTTTTCATATTCCTCAAAAAATGTTAAGCAAAACTAAAAGCACACAAACCAAAGGTGACATGGCAATACAAGCAAAGGGAGAGTCATTAGTTTAAAATTTGAGTTAGTTATTTTCATTTATGCATGCCTTAGGAAAGGGAATATTTTTCTTTGAATATTTAAATACTTCCAGTTTTCACTTTTGTAGTGTGGTTTCATGAGTGGTTCCAGCCAGTATGAATTCCCACTTGCTGAGTTCAAGCAGTCTTGTCCCCTGCCTGTTCCTTACAGCTCTGTGCATGCCAACTCTTGTGGCAATGTGGAGAGCTGGGTTGAGGAACTGGTCATATTAAAATGAAATCTACTCTTCCCCTATTCCTTCTTAACAACAACAAAAAGGAAAAAGGGAAGAGAAATGTTGGCTTTTAACCAGGTGAGTATCTTTGTCATGTTTGCTGTGGGTCTTTGAATGGCTTGTGCTGACTCAAGGGAAGGACATGTGGAAACTAGTAGTGGGGAAGGGTGGGACAGCTTCTTTCAGCAGCAGTGCCAGCTTATATTGGCTTAAAATGATAGTGAAACCATACTTAAAGTTGCAGGCTTCTGGAATATGACTGATTATAGCTGCTGGAAATAAAAGAAATACGAAGTCTTGATTCCAAGGCCTGTTGCTGAAGCTTGTCCCCACAGCTCCTGAAAAACTGAGTTGTGTAAGGACTAAAACCTGTCTTGTGATGTTTAATCAGTTGGGATTTTTTTTGAAGTATATCCTTTGTAACCATTGCAGTATTTTTGAATGCTGAAAATCTTTAGAATGTAGTGGGTTTAGTTCCCGTCTTTATGTAACATACGGTCCTATTTGAAATAAAACAACCCAAATGTGCATACAAATTAGTAATGTAGTAAAAAAATCACTGGAGCATAAACCATAAAACCTTGAGGCTAGTTTTCTGTGGTTGAATATCATATGTACCATTCAGATACAACACAGTTACCTATTCATTGTCAACAGGCAGAGCTGAGAAACTGATTAAAGTAGCTCATCAGGTGTCAGGTACTAAAGCCAAATTGATTAAATATGGGATTAACTTAGCAAATACATTCATTTTGAACAAATAAAGTGTATGTTTGTTAATAAAGTTGCGTTTTTGAACTGCAGCAAGTGCATCCAGAACTTTTTAGTCATCGTCTCCCCCCTCTGATCTTTCTTTACACAGCTGAGTAACTGTAAAACGGAGACTTTCTGGAACTTGGAAGCCTCAAGAAAAATGTTTGTAGTCTCCTGAATAACTCTTTTGTCCTAAATATGTCATATAGTTAGAACTCAATTTTCTTCCATGATCAAATGTTACATGACGGTAATCTACTTGTATTTACTGAGAATTGTTGGTACAACACGTGGTTTTGGGTGATTTTTTTTTTTTTTTTCCTACGAGAACTTTTTTCTTTCCATGATCCAGAGGATAACTCTGGTAATTGAATTATCAAAGAGGGATGGAGCAGATGCTTTATAAAAACAGGAAGAGCCTACTTTTAGTTTTGAACTTTAGCTAGTACTAGCAGTTTTTAGGAATAGAAATAATACTTAGCTTCTTTTTGTAATAATACTTAGCTGCTTTCTAGCTTGCAGAAGGTGCTGTGGTGGACAAGCAGTGCTGAGTGATGGACTGCATGCACCCGCCTGTTGCAGCTCTGCCAGCTGACCCCAGTACCTTCTGATTTAAGTCAAGGAACTGGTTAAATTCTGTGTAAGCCCTGTAAATGTCTATTTCTACTTTAAATCTTACTAGTTTATTAGCTTTAAAAACAAAAGTCTGGAAAATACTGCTTTGAGATGAGTATGTGTGGTGCTGGGGTAAGGAGAAGGATTTTCAATTCACAGCTTTCCACACTGTAATTTGAATATTCTGGTGACAGCGCTGTTTTAACAGACCCCCTTTCCCTCCCATCTGTTCTCACTCATGTCCTGTTCTCTGCATTGTGCCAAAACAATTGTTTTTTGTGGTGGCAAGATGAATGGGATTGGGAAACCAATCTAGAATGAGTATCCTGTACTTCTGATAAGATCGGGGAGAGCAATGTTAAAAAATCCTAAGTGTGCAGC